AACTGCAATAGCATATTTACAGAAGAAACTGACCTGCACTTGAAACCCTGAACAGTAGTTTTGCTTCTCTGCTCCACCTGTGTGCTTCCACAGTCCACTCCATTCTCTCTCTCGCGTCGATTACTCTGATCCGAACCGTTTGGCGGAGGCCAAATCGGCTGCCAGGCCATCGAGAATTGTCCCGGTTCTCCCGATGGCCAGTCCGCGCCTGATTTCCACAGACACGCAGAACGTGCAGGATTCATATATTGTCTTTTCGCGGATTAATATTCACAGACACTAGTCCATATTCAAGTGCACTGACCTACTTTTGATTTATTCTTCCAAAATGTGGCATATTCCGTCCGCGTTAGGCTATAGGAATTCCGTTTTTTCCGCAATTTTTCCGCATCGCGGAAATCTGTATGTGGATGTGTGTATATATTCAAATGTAATCCCCTTTGTAATCGTTAACATTTTCATAAGTAACTGTAATTTAATTACACATTTTTTCTTAGTAACTGTAACTGATTACAGTTACATTTATTTTGTAATTATATATATATATATATATATATCAACTAGACTACAGGTCCTGATGTGATCAGAAGCAGGTGAGACACTTGTGTAAAATTTTCTAACAGAGGTCCCACAATCATGGAAATATTATGGAATTTTAAAATCATGCTTTCCAGGCCATGGAAATTAATCTTGAAAGTCATGGAAATTTCACACACTGTGCACTAAATATGCTCTAAAATATTTAATCGGGTCGATGTTCTTGTATCAAGTTAATCTTGCTCATGAGCCATAGTGATTGTCTGATTTGTGTGCGAATTGTTCTTTTCGAGTTGCCTCTTTTCAATGAAACTGATTCACAAAATTGCTCTGAATGATTAATTAGTGAATCCTCATCCAGTAATCACAAATGACTGGAAAGGTCATGGAAAAGTCACAGAAATTCACTGGTCAAAAAGTATGAGAACCCAGTGCTAAGTGTATAACTCTTGGATTTTTTTTTTGTTTTGGCTTTGTTACTCTGAATGTTAAGGCTGATTTGTGGAGATTGTTTTTCTTTTTGTCCTGTCCCTTTAATTCGTTCTCTTGTCTTTCCCCCTCTCCTTCTTTCAGTCCCCGCTCACTGCTTGTAGCGGCAGTATTGATTACCCGTGTCTTTGCTTTTGCAGCTTTGGGCTATTGATCTTTGGCTGAGGCTCTGCACACACACACACACACACACACAGTCGTATTGTCTCTGTTTGAGATGGCTTGCTCTGAGATGGTACGAGAGGAAGAGCTGTGGGTTAATGAGTCTGTCTTGGCAATGTGTTTGGCTGTGAGTTTCTCTGTGTTTAAAGCCTCCATTCTGTTCTACAATTAACATCAATCACTTCAGCTCAATATAGTCTGAGTCAGACAAAGACTCGAGACCAGCTGTGTGTGTGCGCGCACATGTGGGCTCTTGGCTTCTCTACCTGCTCACAGAGTCACTGCAATACAAAATACACACTGATATTAACATGCCAAGCATATTGCAGATTCATATTGCAACTTTAGGCCTAATAAGGACTGTTTTCAATCTGATTTCCAGAACACTCCATTAGTCAGCAAAACAATAGTCCCGCCCCAAATAGCCACCATAGGTTGCATCAATCTGACAGGTCAGCAACTATAAAAATCTGAGTGTTTGGACTTAAAGGATTATTTACAGATCAGATAGAGGACTGTGGCCTATGGGTGTTTGTGCTTGCTTATTTGGACATCTTGTCTAGTCCATTTTTACTCATTGTTAGAGCCATAAATGACATATTTTTCTGTACATTAAGATATGTATATTATTATCATGTGTATATTTTGAATATGTATGCTGTATCACATGACTATAGGCAATTTTATACATAATACGTATGTGTGAGTAAACGATAATGTCTTGAATTAGAAGGAAAAGGAAGGGGTTTGGTACTAAACCCTCTTTTGGTCATTGAAATGGTCAAACAAAATTTGATAAAATAAACAATTTGAAGTTTGACGAAGTGTAAATAGTTCTTAAGTTTGATTTTTGTTTTTGTAACTCAGGAAACTAAAAGTAACCTGTTATGCTGCAAGTTTATGGTTTTACACATCGCCTGTGGAAATGGTGAAGAATGGAAACAAGCTTTTATTTCACAATTATACTCATTACATTCAGACTGATGAATCACACTTTTTAAGATCCACATTGTCTCTCTGGACAATGGTTCCCTCACGTTATGTTTTTGAAATGTATACTATGTTGGTTTTATTGTATGTTTTTGTTCCGATGGTTTTTAGTGGACAAAGTCTCACAGGTGAAAAAAGGGGTGAATCTGCAAAGTCTGACTGATTAAAAACATCCGTATGTTGTAAAACCAAACTTATGTTCTTTCTTGTGTTTTCAAACAGGAGAAACATCTCAGTTTGATCTCACCTTCACGGTCAGGGTTGTACGATTTTCAAAGGCCAGGATGATGATCATCGTGGGTCTGGTCTGGAAATAACAGTCCCTCTGTGGTGAGGTTAGTCCGCAGGTTACCAGTAAAGTGCTTTTTAAACCGCACAAGGAAACTGCACATGTCTTTTTAAAGATCTGTGGTTGACAGATATGAAACCAGATTGGACGAATTCGGGCTTCCATTAATGCAAAATGGTTACAAACCTTCTGGTCTCTCAGTTAACCTGTCTGACCTGACCTAAACTGGATTAAGATCTGTGGCAACACAGTTGGGGTTTTTGGGGGGGTTGTAGTATTGTTCCAGCGCAGCGTGGTGATTGTAATTCACGGTCTCATGTTTCTCATTAGGGCCGCACTTGATAGAAAGGCTGTTGAACTAGCGCGTCACATCTCATCATAAAGTCGTTATCTGCAATGAAACCCCTTTTATCAGTGACTCACTAAATCTAAACCGTTCCCCAATGTGTAAATGTATGAGACACAT